GAAATGCGGCATCTTTTAGCCTTAGTAAAATATCCTACATTTTCAATTCACGATAAATTCTGTACTGTAAGATAGATTAATAGGTTAATGTTGTAAATTTGGACTGGTACAAAATACTGTTCAGCAGTCTTATAATTCATTTGATCACCAACTTATTTTTGCATATTAGCTATTATATTTTATACAACAGTTCTTTTTTTGAATCGATACGATATTTTCAAGCCGTCAGACAGTATTTTGCACCTAGATACCTTAGTGTAATCGGCGTATCTCTCTCTACCCTTTAACTCTTTGTACGGGTGATATCTGTTTAGCTTGTATTATGATTGATTAAAATGTCTCTCTGTGTCAGTTTTGATGATTTATTTCTTTAAAAAAGAGCTTATTTAGTAAAGTGAACACCAATCATTATTTGTGTATATGATATGATTATGAACAATATATTTGTGTTCAAAACGTCATCCAGTAAATAATATTGTTTCACTGTGTCATATATCTAATAAATAAATCGATAACAGTATGTCATTGATAGGAGTACATTTGATTGCAAAATCAATTCGGAAAGCAAAGAATTGAATGAGAAAGGAGGTGATGGAAGGCAGTATCTTTTCTACGCCATACAACTTGTCTGATCTATCGTTTTTGCATGGCTCCTACGTATCTTAACAATTTCGACAGAAAATATGTCTTAAAAAGGTAGTGTTAAATAAGCGCGGAAAACATTATGTCCTTGACTGTAGTAAAAAGTACAGTGATTTTTATAATTTGAGCAGAATGGTTAAAGTTAGCAGAAAAAAGTTCATCTTGTAAATTAGAACAGGATGATCAGGAATCGTATTTTGTCTGAAAAGTGTGTGTAGCATATATTGCAGCTGAGCTACTGATCAGGTTCTACAGGCGACAAATGATCAATGGACGTGTGAAGGATAAACTGCCACTTTGCGCTACTTCAATGTGTGTTTATAAATTCACCTGCTCGTGTGGAGCTAGTTATATTGACCAACTGAACAAAGCGCACGCTTTCCGAACGCATCTCTGAACATTATCCGGCATGGTTAGCAAAGGGACAATGTAAGACAGTTACTAGCTCGATTCTTGAGCATTTGGTGAACTCAAGCCACTTAGCTCCACCAGAGTCGTCTTTCAAGATCATCTACAAGGTGAGGCCAAATGGTACAAAGGGTGTCAGGTTTAGGCTTTTGTGTATGGTGGAGGCGCTGGCGATTCATTAATAATATAACTGTGAATTCTGTGTACGGGAAAAGTTTGTCCAGTCTCTTATTCTACCATGGTCTTAATCTCTTCATTAATTGTCCCCTGTAAATTTTCAATTTACTTTTAGTTTACTTTTACTTTAATAATTAATCCACTGTTATCACACTCATATTTCCCTTTTGTACATTTTCACACCCTGTTCATACCTGTTAAATTGACACTCAACTAGTTTTATTCTCACTCGATAACAATTTTAACCTTATCAAATTTCTAACTTTCTGCCGTTGAGTACAATGTAATTTAAAACTTTTGTTTTTTACTTCTATAGCCACTTCTGAGTAATTATATCAATTATATAACCCCCTATTACTCAATAAGAAATAAATATATCTCTATGTTATTAGAGTTGTCGATTTAGTGTGTGGAATTTAATAGCACTCACCATCAAAAGTAACATCCGGATTTTCAACTCCAATGTAAAGTCAGTGCTACTATACGGATCAGAGACTTGGCGAGTCATAAAGAGCACATCAAGTAAACTACAGACCTTCATTAACAGTTGTCTTCGCTCAATACTCAAGATCAGATGGCTGGCCAGAAAATATCAGCAACAGGGATCTCTGGGAGCGAACCAACAAGGAACAGATTGTGAAACAAATAGGCATGAAGAAATGGAGATGGATTGGCCATACGCTGAGGAAACTATCAAGTGACATCACTAGACAAGCCATCGCTCGATTGGAACCCGAAAGGGAAGCGGGCGGCGAGTTGGTCGTCAGTGCAGGGTGACTTGAAGGATTTGATGTGAAGAGGAGATGAAAGCATGTGGGCAGACTTGGAGTGGGGTGAAAAAGTTGGCAGAAAACCTAACGGAATGGAGATGCGCAGCTGAAGCCCTATGTTCCTCTAGGAATTAAAGGATGCAACAATAAATAATAATAATAATAATTTAGTGTGATCATTTGGCGACCTTACCATTACTGTGACTGTAGTTTATCATGCTTAATATCCAGGTTACTCTTACAATAGTTCACAATAATCTGAATCATAGGTGGAAAATTTGAGAGGATAGCTATTGGACTGATTTGTTAAATGGTTGTCTGATGTAGCCTCAGTTTGACAGACTAGTTTGGTTTAAGTCGAAGTTGCTGCGTCTAACCATGGGGCAATCCTGGTTTTCGTTTCATGTTCAGTTTTCAGTGATCTATCGCTATTACCTTTATTATTTCTATGAAGCGGCTTTTAAAGTATGGGCATCTTAAGGTATGGATTAAACCCTGAATCTGGTTCATGTGAATCAGCGTGCTCTTTACAAGCTACAATCAATATTTTGCAAGCGCCTTTGTAGACAATCCAATGATAAGTTTACGTAGTACAGTTGAATACTGTTCAAAACTTTCAAAGGTCTTTTTTAGTTGGTTACTTTTCTAAGTGTTTATAGTATCATAAATAAATAAAAATGTAAGGATTTTCTCAGCATTTGAACATGGTACATTCTATTCACTTCATAATTTTCTTCATTTATACCTCAACTACTTTAAATTCGCTAAGTAGCTCGTTACTCTATTGAACATTTTCTGGCTATCTCTAAAATGACTTAACCAGAGTGGCTATAACTTTAGTCGTTTTTCAGTTAATTTTTCATTATTTATGTATCGGGAAATTAAGAAGCAATATACAAAACAGGCGAATAACTAATAATGCTCTCTCCTGTACACTAAAGAAGAATCGATATGGCCGGTCAGTATTTCGTGTTATTAGATAAATATTAAGTTAGCTGCTTATTACAATTTGTTTGTGTCAATGAATAAATACTGATTGCCTTTTGTTCTGATTTATTCCTTTTATTTACATCAAGGTGTCACAGTAAGTAACTGTAGTCACTGGTTGACTTGGTGATCTTTAGCTATGCCTTACAGTTTGTGGGTCAGAATTTCTGAATTCTCTTTCTAATCCAAGTCATGATTTGCAGGAATTTGGTAGGTTTCAGGATTTCATCATCAGTCGACCTTGGTTGCAGAACTATTGGGAAACCCGGGAGCAATGCGCAGCTGCTTCGTCCTAGTTTGAGACTTTTCAGCAGTATTCACCAACCGCAGTACCTATGCTGGGACCTTCTGGTTACAAGGCGAGCTCGTAGACTATTAGGCCAATAGGACCCGAGACGATGGCCAGTTCATGAATTCGAACTTCTGTCAGTTCATGATATAGCGCTACCAATAGCCAATGTCATCATCAGCGAGCATTCGTCCTCACGCCCAACCTGCTGTACCCCAATGGTCACGATTTCTCACTAGGACCCAGGTAATTACATACCTGAATAGGGTCAGTCGCTAGTGTAAGCATCAGATTGATATTCAAGTGTTGGTTTGTAGGGATTTGGTTGGTTTCAGGATTTCACCATTAGCTAACATTGACTGACTGAGTTTCGAAATTGCGATTCAAACTAACAAACTCAACGTAGCTCAGAAGGGTAGGGAAAAGAAAAAAATTCGAAGGAACTGTAGTGGGCAGAAATGTATTCGAGATAAAGAATAATTAGCTGAAGAATGATGCAGATTTAATGGATCTTGGAGCAAGTTCCAGAAATATTTCAGGTCAAAGGTCAAATTAGTAAAAGTGCATAATAAATGGTTGGCTAAGTTCCAGAATAATTTCCAGTGAAGGGTCAAACTAATAAAATTACAATTAGGAATTAAAATGCCATAATAAACAGGGGGACGGATAAAACTCAAACAAAGTATTTTTTTTTGATTACAGCTTGATTCCACACTGTATTTCTGGTACAAGTATGGAATTTTCAGCATGTGATATCGGTAGCCCAAATTTTGCAGCCGACCATAGATATCAGGTGTGCGTCGGCAAGGGATCGAACCTTGGACCATGTGAATTGTCAGGGAGAGTCCTAACCATTGTGCCACCGACGCGCATGATTACTGAGAAGATTGACGTATCGTGCAATTACGGGTTAGAAATGTAGAAATAACAAAATAGACAGGATGTTTGAATAAAAAATCTAGTGGGATCATAACTAATGGGACGAATAGTTGTTTATGCAGTTAGGGAATAAATATGTAGAAATAATAAAATGACAAAATAGACAGGAAGTTCGGATATGAAAATATATGGTAGTGTAAATAGAGATTAAGAAAAAATTAAAAATAACATGAATAAACAGGAAGTTTGGGTAATAAAGGCAATGGGATAGTCACCATTAAAAGAATTTTATGATGGCCATGGTAGGGGCAAGGGTTGAACGTGTTTTTTTGTATACAAAGCGTAGGTTTTAGTTTTTGGATGGCTAATGCCTCGGCTATACCCAGATGTCTTGATTTTACTCCCTTTGATAGGTTCGATCTAATCTTGTACATGATTTTGAAGGATTTTTCGAATGGCGTTGAATGTCTTGAATTGACCAGATGTTCTGTCACTGAACTATACACACATTTTCGTTCTCCTCTTACTAGCTAGGATCCTGGAGGATTGCAAAGAGTGAATGCCTCTGTGTCATTGGGGAATGGTTTCGAGTCATATCACCGATAGTCTCTAGCCATTGGTTCTTAGAATCTACAGAACACAACTAGGCAGTCTTTGCCTTCCTATATTGCTCAAACCCACTGGGAAGGACTTCGTGGATTAATGCCAAATTTCGTTTTGACCACCCCCGCCTCCTTACACAGTGTATGATGGCTATTTTGGTGGATTAAGTTTTCTTAGGATATCAATTTTGCAATTATGCCTGCTACTTCTATGATATCTTCTAACTTTTGTTTAATTTAATACAGATATCTGTAGAACTATTGGAAACACTGCTTCCAGTCAATCCTTCATTTTCAAAACAAACTTTCAGTCATACAGGTAGTGGAATTCTTCGGTATACACTTTCCACTTTACCTGCTAGTTCTCGATTTAGAATAATTATAAACCCAATTGATGAGATTGGTGAGTTGTTTAAATTCATTCTTGTGATATGTTGAGTGTGCTTTGCTTAGTTTAAACTCTTTTAGAAAAGTCAGAGGGAAGACATTAAACTCAGATACTACTCACATTTCAATTAATTTTCTGATGTGCTGAGGATGTGTGTATCACTTAGACAGTTGTTCTGAATTATCCACCACTGGCCAATTCTGCATAATTTCTTCACACCGTATTATTCGTTGTCTTTTCCTATTATGATGTTGATAAATTTGTTACAAATACAAATTACTTTATGCATTTTGTACCTCAACAGTTTTGTATGTACCATAGTTTTTTTTGGTCTTTATGATTGAATGTAGGAATTGTAAGTTGCAGAAGAATTATCTGCTATAACAGATCAAATGACAGTGATTTGATAAAGAAAGGAAGACGAAATTTGCAATATAAAATTATATCATTCTATTTCACAGGTTCTCATCAGCTGCAGATTACCTGAAATTACAATGGTTATATAGATGTTAATAACATACTTTAAATGTTTAAATGGTAGTAGAGAAGAAATACTATAGAACTGACGCATCCAAAATGTAAGCATTACAATTTTTAGTTTAAGTTTTCATCATCAACGCTTTCAAAGTAGAAAAAAAGGGGGGGTAGGGGTAAGACAGAAAGCAGAAAAAAATCAACAAACAGTGTTAGCTTGCAGGTTCACGTAGCAACTCAAAAAACAATAGCGACTACATTTAATTGGTGGATGGTGACTAGCAGTGGGATCCAGGACGCGCATTTCGTCCTATTTGGGACTCGTCATCTGGATGTACATCGGTGAGAACATCATCATTCACTGAGAAATGCAGGTACATCCAGATGACGAGTCCCAAATAGGACGAAATGCGCACCCTGGATTCCACTGCCAGTCACCATTCACCAATTAAATACTAATTACATGCCCAGACATCGTCGAAGTATCTGCAGAAGAAGCCGACATGTCAACCTGAGACCGAGCATTTCGGTCCAATCAATCGATGGGAAAATCAAAAATCAAATTAAATAGCGGTTACAGTCTATAAGATTGAGATTTGTTTAGTGAGTTGAGATCGTTGAATCAGATGACTAATTAATGTAATCAAAATCAAAATTCAGTTACGAAGGGAGTGAGAGGTTAATCACACTCTCTTTCTGAATGCATAAGTCTGGTTTAAGTCGTTTGATTGCGATTGCTTCGGCAAATCGTAGTAAATTTACTGTCCTTTGTCTAGTTAATATTTTGAAGGACTTAGAAATCTCTACGAGATGTCCGGTGTCAACAGTGTATCTGGTAATTGCGCTCTGAGAATATTTGCCTCCTTTCAGGCACAGGTTTCTTGGAATATGTTCAGAAAACCGGATAGAAGCCCTTCTTTCCGTCCTTTCAATGATTTTTGACATTATAACATGCTTAAAAATGTACTTAAAGATTCACATACATTCTCTCCAGTGTATTTACAGCATCTTACAGCTTATTCATCTAATGATTTACCCAGATTTGTAATGATATCTGATCATAAAAGTTTATTTGGGCAGGGGGACTGGATTTCAAATGGCCATGCTTATTGCTCAAACCAATGAGTCAGACGTCTAACTATAACATTTTACTATAGAGGAAATTTTGTTTTCTTCAGCACAAATGATTTTCATGTAAAATCATCCAACACGCGGTTTCACCAATAATCATACACTGACTGACCACCCTTTAAATTACTTCTGTGAAATATTTTCAGGTGTATCAATGGGTTCATCTTTTTTAACTGCTTGGACAAGCCCTGCTCCATTTGCAAATTCAAGAGCTTTAAGAATTGGACAGATAACTGCAATATTCAATGGTTCATCTATGGTCAGTGTAAAATTTCCAACAGTTTCAGGCTATGAAGGTGGTCCACTGAATGGTTTTTATATAGTTGTTGAGAAAAATTCAAATACTAATCGTGTACGACGTTCAGTTTGTAAGTTTCTGTGGTTTTCATTCGCAATTTTTTTTTCTTTTTTCCACAGTTCGTATCAGTTGTTTTCAAGTTGTGTATAATTTACATCAATGTCTTTGTGATTCACTTCTGTTATCTGTGTATAGTGACTCACAGTGGATTGTCTTTTGCCAATAATTTCATTATATTCATGTCTCTGAAGCACTAATAACGACCAACGCGAGAAACATGGAAGAAGTCACTTCATTCACTTATCTAGGAAGTGTTAATTCAGCTACAGACGAAACGGATGAAGATGCCAAAGCCGGCCAGAATCGGGAAGGCAAGATATACACCGTCATCAATCTTCTGCACTCCTCAGCATCAAGAGCAAGATTCGGATATTCCACACAAATGTCAAGTCAGTCCTTCTGTATGGGTCAGAAACTTGAGGCATTGCAAAAAGCATTTCCAATAAGTTTCAGGCTTTTATCAACGGCTGTCTTCGCTATCTCTATATGGAAGGTCAAATGGCCAGAGAGAATGAATTTGCAACAAGAAACTCTGGCTGGGAACAAACCAACCAAGAGACGATTGCTGAATAAATATGTAGGAGAAAATGGAGATGGATTGGACACATTCTGAGAAGACCGTCGAATAACATCACGCGAGACCAGTGCTCGAATGGAATCCGAAAAGGAAACGAAGAGTGGGCCGTCTGAGAGTGACATGAAGAAGATCGTGCGAGGAGGAGATGAGTGATTATGGTCAATCGTGGACTCAGATGAAGAAAACAGCAGAAAATGGAACTAGATGGAGATATGTTGTTGAAGCCCTATGTTTCACTAGGAACCCAAGGGAATAATAATAATCGTATCTGTGAAGCATACATCTCATCCAACAGTTATACGACAATGCTGCATGTCAAGTAATGAACAACGGGAAACTTACGGAGGCCTTCAAATTGACGACGGGAGTGAGGCAAGGCTGTCTACAATTGCCAATGATCTTCCTGATTGCAGTAGATTGGATAATGCGAAAGACAACGGGCCTGACAACGAGGAAAGAGGCATAAAATGGACTCACACAAAACACTTAGAGGATCTGGACTTCGCCGACGATATATGTCTGATTTCCCACAAACTGGAAGATATGCAGTTGAAAAGCAACAAGCTGGCAGAAGAAGCATCCAAGGATGAAAGGACTTCAAGTGAACATAGATAAAACAGAGGTGATGAAGATTCCTGGTCAACACCAACAGCAACAACGACAACAGACAACAATCAGCCAGCATAAATGGGAGGAACCTGAAAGAAACAACCTCCTTTACCTACCTACCTGGGAAGCATTGTTTCAACTACAGGCGGAACTGACGAGGATATCAAAGCACGAGGATCGGAAAAGCAAGACAAGCTTTCATTACTCTTAAGTCTGTGTGGAGGTCAACAGCACTCAGCATGAATGAAAATGAGATCGGAATTTTCAACTCCAGTGTGAAGTCAGTGGTGCTTCTATACGGAATAGAGACTTGCACTTCGCGTCATAAAGAGCATCTCAAACAAACTTCAGACCTTCATTAACAGCTGTCTTCGCTCAATACTCAATATCAGATGGCCAGAAAATATCAGCAACAGGGATCTCTGGCAATGAGCGAACCAACCAGGAACAGATTGTGAAACAAATAGGCATAAAGAAATGGAGATGGATTGGCCATACGCTGAGGAAACTATCAAGTGACATTATTAGACAAGCCATTGCTCAAGTGGAACCCGAAAGGAAAGCGGCGAAGTGATAATTCAAGGGTGACTTGGAGGAGGTCATGTGAAGAGGAGATGAAAGCATGTGGGCAGACTTGGAGTGGGGTGAAAAAGTTGGCAGAAAACCGAAGGCAATGGAGATGCGTAGCTGAAGCCCTATGTTCCTCAAGGAATTAAAGGACATAATAATAATATCTCTGAAGCAGTTTATGTATAACTGAAGGTTTCTATTTCTTAGTCTTTGCTTATATGTGTTAGCGAATAGGCCGTGTTCTAGGAGAAACTAGACACCTTCAAGGACAGTTAAGAATTTAATCAAATGTGTTGATTTGTTTAGACAGAATTTTCGTATTTACTTGCGTAATTATATGAAAGCCTATGAACAGATGAAGACATCGTGATATTTGTACTTATTGATCAACTGTATATTTGCTTGATCATTCATTGTAATCTGACGTTAATGATTGAGTATTTGTATTTGGTGTTATAAAACAATATGCAACGCCAAAATACCGCCGAATTTGTAAATAGAACAAGTGGAGAGATGTAGGTGATAAGAATGCTGGTGAATATACTGAATAGTGATTTTGTGCTTCATTGTGGAGCAAAAATATCAGGATGTGAATGCGGGTCTTGGGCTTCAATGATTTCTTATATTTGATTAAAAGATAGTATGATTTATAAAGTAATCTGTGTTCATTGACTTCACGAAACAAAAGCATTTAATTAAGTGAAATTTAAACCCGGAAGTATCCACCTCAGCGTATTGATGTTTATTTGCATTTTCTTGCATTTTCGCAAACATGGACTGGTGAACCTCAGGTTAAAATGTTCATTTGATATTAATTTGGCTGAAAACGACATAAATCTCTATATAAAGTGTGCATTACCATGCATAATATTATGAAGAGTTATTCAATGCCCAACATATATAGGACATCTGTGTGTGTTGATTGCATATTGTATAATATATAAATCTGATTATTTGATATGAAGCTTCCTCCTTTATTATATTATTATTGTTCCCTTGGGTTCCTAGTGGAACATAGGGCTTCAACTGCACGTCTCCAATTGCTTCTGTCTTCCTTCTGCTGTACTCTTCACCTGCATCCATGTTAGTCTATACTGTTTTAACTCCTCTTCACACGATCTCCTCCATGTCACCCTTGCACCAATGGCCTGACGCGCGCGCGATGTCACCCAGCGGCGGCCTCCTCAGCCGTGAGTGTCCAATCCATCCATCTCCACTTTCTCCTGCATATTTGTTGGGCAGCAATTGGTTCTTCTTTTGTTTGTTCCCAGCCATAGTTTCTTGTTGGTGATTCTTTCCGACCCGGCCATCTGGTCTTCAGTATAGATCCAGCGAAGACAGTTGTCGGTTGACAAAGGTCTGCAACAGGCCGTTGGAAATATTCTTTGTGACCCTCCCGCCAAGTTTCTGATCCGTATAGAAGAACTGACTGACTTGACGTTTGTATTGAAAATCCTTTATACTGCTTTTTTATTGGATATCAGTTATTTTTTATTTTGCCACTTGCTAATTAATATTTAACTATGATTATAATGACGAACATTTTAATTGCATTCCATACTATTATTATTTTATGTATTCACACCTTTGTTCCAATATCCTCACGGGATATAATTTACGAAAAAAACCGTATACATATACATATACGATTGCACAACTTGCTAATAAATTCTTTGAAAAGAGTCTCTTCACTGAATCACTTGTTTGAATTTTATTGTTGATGTCTGTCAGATACACAATGCTTTGCATATTTTAATGTATATGGAGTAGCTGGTCAAGTCAAATGAATTGTTATATACATCACCCTCACTTAATAAATCTTCTAGTTCTCTGTCGAAGGTAGATCTCGTTGAGGTGCCTGTAAACAGAGCAGAATGTGTTTAAAACTCTAGTATTCAGTAAGCACTTAACTGTTGTCTGAAGCAATGAAGATTTTCAGCTCTGCATGATATTTTTCCGTACTGTAATGTTCTCTGAGTTGGATACTTTTCTTTTTATTTTCTTCTAATGGACTAGACAGCATTTGCAGGCGTCAAATTTAATGTGTTGCTCTGTCTAATTTAGTGAACACTAGATATAGTTGTTGTACAGAAGAACAATAAAAGCTTTACAATTAAATCATCGTATTGAAAGAACACAAAAGCATTGGAATTGTACGGGGTTCATTCATTTATTCATAATTACTGGAATGTAACAGAGTGTTCATATGAGTTTATGGTAGACGTTTACTAGTGTCTGTTAGTAGTGTGTATATTAGTGTTTATTCAACCTACATTTTATCATTATAATAGGTTAGAAAAGTGTTCATTCTCTGTTTCATGATGGATTTGTTTTATTCAAAATCTGTCTGATGCGTGCATCAGTGGTTCAGTGGTAGGATGCTCGCCAACCACTCCTGTGGTTTGGGGTTCAGTCGCCAGCCGACGTACTCCTAAACCTCACTAAGCCAGCAATAAGGCCAGTAAAGAGGGAAGGTTGGCTGTGAGGCTAGCAACCCCACTCCATAAAAATAAAACCACTGCTACCGAAATTTCAAAGTTGTAGCTTGAAGCCCTCTGTTCCACTAGGAACGTAAAGGAATAAAATTTACAAAAACCTGTCGAATATAAATCTTTTGACGAGTTGATCACGGATTGATATCAGTTCAAGAACTATTGAAAACCAGGGAGTACTGGACGGATGTTTCATTCTAGTTTAGGAATCATCGGCAGTACGCACCCGCTGGGGTTCGAACCTAGGACCTCCCCTGGTATTTCAATGATTCCCTAACTGCTGATATCAATATCCGATCAACTCCTCGAAACAAATCTAATCCTTACAAATCAACTATTGAAAATTAATATAAAAATATACTGATCTCATGTTTTTTTTTCATTTATTTCTTTATCTTTAAATATAGTGGATCGTACACAGCTTGGATTATCAAACAATGCTAATATTGTTTATTATTCTAATACATTCCCATTAGAAAATATTATAATAGGTTCTGGCAATGTTATCGACGGTTCTAAACTATACAACAATTTATCAACTATACCAGGTTATAATAATCCTCAATTAGAGACAAATACCAGTTATACAGTAACTGCATTTATTCAAAGTGAAGTGGATGGTACAAGTGAATTTACTGAAGCTGGTTATGTAACATTTGTAACTGGTGTTGTTAATAGTATAATTACCGGTGCATCTTCTCCTTTAACAAACAATCAAATCGAGTCTAATTTACTTGGAATAATTTTGGGTATTTTATTAGCTCTCGTTATCTTAGCACTGATAGCATTCCTTATCTTCTATTTTTGTCGTAAACGATATCAGGTTAGTTAAATTTTGAAAATAAACATTTTATATATTATCATCTTTGTGTATACTATGCATACTACTTCTACCCATCAAGCGTATATCTGTGCTAGCGTTCACTACTGGATCTTTCTGTATTGCTTTTGTACCATGGGATTCAGTACTGTTCCAAGCATTGCTTTATGATTTGTAACTAGTTTGTAAACGGGCATATCTTTGGTGTATGATACTACGGTGGATATAAAGTAGTAACGGTTGTCTCACCAAGCCAATTAATTTCCTTATTGTGACTCTCTACTCTCCCAACCTTACTTATTAACAATATTATTTGACTGCTCAACTGTATTATTCTCTAACCCCACCCTTATTTAGTTTTAACCACCACTCATTAACACTGTTGCCAACCTGACCTACTCTGAATTCTACTCAACTGTATTACGTAATCCAATTCACTTAATCAATTCTATTTTTATTTTCTATCTTAACGTTTGTCTCCAAGCCAAATAATACTTACATTACATAATTATCTAAACTTTATAAATCTAATGTACACACACACAAACAAATTTGTATATATATGCGATTGTACAGCTCAGTGAATGAATTCGCCGAAAAGAGTCTCTTTGCTGAACGTCTTCTTTGCTCAAACTTTGTTGTGTGGAGTGGAATTTCTAAAGGTTATTCTTAATCAAAGAATCTGAACCTTGAAAGTATGAAAAAAGTTCCACTTTATGATGTTGTGTTTTAAGAGGAGCTGTTGTACAACTAAACTATTGCGCTATCAGTCAACAGAAAGTAAATTCTAACAGTAAAATTCATCAGAATATTCTCGTGGTCTTTTTGTGTTATCAGTTGTCTCAGTGTAGTTAGTGCTTGTTAGATTTGACTCTCAGTTCATCGAATAAATTGACATGTGAGAATTCTAAGGTTTATATGAAGTATCTATATCCCTGCAAATATGTAGCTATTAAAAGAATGATAGTGTGGATTTTTAACTATGTTTTAAACCACTGGCGTAAGCTGCTATGTGGCTGAACACAGTTTCAATTAAATTGATTTGTAAGTATTGCGAAATAACTGCATATCACTGCATAATTGTCTAGTGTAAGAAATATAAGAGAGTTTTAAAAAAATGAAATAGAGACATCAATCTGGCAAATTTTATTCACTCTTGAGAAAAAGAGAATTGTCAGTTAGTAGAATGTCGTGGAACTAGGTTTCGTGCTTGTTGGCGCTTGTATCTGCTACCTCGAAGAAACTGACGCCCACCCCCGCCTCTCTGAAAATAAAAAATTGTCAATTGGAGGCACCATTTTTATAATTATGACATAATAATTCACTATAGCATTTACAATAAGTTTGTGGGATGAGCGTTGCAGCACTAAGCTTTCGGTCTACAATCGCACTGGCAATCAGTAAAGCTGTGCATCATCACTGGCTCAGACACTCGGTTATTAACCAGTTGGATCACGAATGATGGAATATCCTTTTCCCTATGAAAACACAAATGGTCGATTGGTTCCTATGACTGTAATACAAAAAAAATTGTTTTATAATTTAGTAAATAAGCCTATATGTGACACTCTAAGTTGCATTAATGTATTTACAAACTTGCCTACTGATTTGTAATCGAATTATCTGATGATAGTCATATGTTATTAGAAGTCTTTAGATCACGTTAGCTTTGTGGTCATAAGTTAAGCACTTCGACATTGTTATATGGTCAGTTTACAGGAGGTTCTTGGTACGGATGTATTACATGATAGTTCGTGTGTGTCGGTGGCACAGCGGTTGAGACGCTCGTCGACTATGCACATGGTCTGGGGTTCGATCCCCGGCCTACGCACTCCTTTACCTCTCCAAGCCAGTCATAAAAGCTGGTAAAGAAAAAAGTTGGGCATGAGGCTAACAACCCCATCCTGTAAAAATGAACACTGCTACGGAAACTTCAAGCCTCTAGCTTGAAGCCCTTTGTTCCACTGGGAACATGAAGGAATTAAAAAATTATAGTTCGTGAGCTGGAAGCGATCATGAAACAATGATCGATGTTGAAAGTTGTCATTCCATTTTGTTGGCATACTAATTTCACGTTTTGTCGTTGCCCCCCCCCTCAACGAATATGTAATTTATCTTATTAGATTATATCGTTGTCATAAAGTTAATTTTTTAAATGTATTTTTTATTCAAGTCTGGTCAGTATGTCTTCGAAAGGTATCCAAGAGATGCGAAATTAACTGTTAAAGAAAGTCACATTTATTACCATATTCATATGCATGGTGGAGTGTACCAGAAGATACACGTGAACCTCGTTATCTGATTATTGATCCAGAACATGGACCTGCACATACTTTAATTGGAACCTGGCCAATAAATGAAATATTAGCTACATTTTCGCGTGAATATGCAAGGTATGGATAAAAAATACTTTGTGGTTTTTAATGGTGATTTATTACGCTTCTTATCTGTCTACATAAGTTCGTAAACGGATAGCACTATTACGTACCTATTATCTTCAGCGCACCATTTACGCAGTTCTTCCGTGTTATGCTACTTCTGACCTTGATATTGTGTCTCTTTGTGTTCCTTTCACGTATTCCATGTACCTCCGCAACGCTGAATCATTTGATTTCTTTGACATCAAATCTATTTCTTGGTTATTTGTTGTTTTTTATTTCGACGAACATCTCTGTTTATACTACTGGTAAATCTTATCAGTAGCATACACAGCACCGATTGTGCTTTTTTTGAAGACATTATTTTTTTTTAATGACACTTATTGAATTGCTGCATTGAAGTAATAGTGTATTGACGGCTGTTATAATTTTCCTGCATCTGTGTTTTCATTTTTACATCAGGACATTTTTAAGAAAATTGTTACTCATGCCCAATAATGGGGAAGTTTAGTGTCCCTTATTCATATTTATTGTAAGGTGTAAATGAATGTTTAACTTCAATAGTTTGCGGATTGGTCAAAAATCCTACACAGCATAGTTATGTCTACAAGTCGACTTTCACATGTTAGTGAGGATACCTAGTGATAATCTTTTATCATTTATCAAGGTTTACCAAATCAAACGACACATCATTATTTGTGTTGTTAAAAATTTGGAAGCAATTGGTGGTAATTTTCTAATTTATATTCGCACTAATCATCAGTTAAACTGATAAGTACTCCAACGAAATTCTCTTGTTAATTTACCGTTTAACGCATAAACGTTGTGTTTGTATAAGTTTGTCTAATGATTTAGACTTTGAATTTATGTGTATGAGTGGAAATAGTTTCTCTATAGTACCCTAATTGATTTACAGATATTTTCAACCTTCAGTTTAAGATTTTATTTGACAAGATAAATGATAAATGCAACTTCTTTGGTAACTCGTATACAAATATACTTTGAGTGTCGCGTTTTAGAAGCTTCTTAGCACCTGAGTAGCTTCATTACTTCATAAGATTCAAATTTTCAACACAAATGCGAAGTTAGTTCATCTGTATGGGTTAGAAATATGGAGGTTGCGTCAGGGAAGCATTTCCAACAGGCCACTGCATACTTTCATCGACAGCTGCACCCTTCTCTGGTTCCATACCGAAGATCAAATAGCTAACAAGAAAGAATTAACAACAAGAAAGTATGGTTACAAATTAATCGACAACCTATTACTCAACATATATGCAGAAGAAAATGGAGATGGATTGGGCACAACCTGAGGAGACCGTCGGATGACACTGAGCGTAATGCAGGCTATCGCTTGAATGGAATCCGACTGGGAAGTGACAAGTAGGTCGCCGGTGTGAGGTTGACATGGAGAATATCGTGTGAGGAGGAGATTATGGATATTGAGCAATCGTGGATCTAGCTGAAGAGAGCAGAAAATAGAATAAAGGGGAGAAGTGTTGTTGAGGCCCCTATGTTCCACATGGAACCCAAGGGAATAATAATAGTAAACAAAAAATTTGCAACTTTCGAATGTTATTTGATTGAAGATTACCTTAACTACGTGGAAAATCTTTGGTGTTAAGATCAATGGTAAATAACTTCATCGCAGTTTGTTGTTATTATTGTATTAGTTTTAATGAATTCTCAGCTGGTTTGTTCTCAATAATTCTAATTGTCAAATGTTGACTTAATGTAAATTAAATATGTATTCCCGCGTACCGAACATCCAATAAACGTTGTTAACAAATTAATTTTACGCATAAATTGAATTTATACTATCTTCACTGGCATAGCATTGCTTCACTCTCCGTTCTTGAAGGTGCTCACTGTTATTAGAGAAGCGGAAAATAGGAAAAGGCAACTTTTCACTTGTTTGTGTTTCTTATGGATTCTCAAATTGATGTTGATATCTGACGGAATCTACCTTAAAGCAAACTATAGGTCAATTGATTGGGTGTGTGCATGTTGTGTAGTATCAATGCAAATTATATAGATACTAAAGATAATAATGAGATAACACAGTTGTAGTTTCTTATGTAATGAAATGATCATTTCAGTTTCGCTGAGATTTTACAAATATAACTTTATAAATGACTGCATAAATCATTGATCAGTTGAGTTACAATATTTTTTCATTTCTTGCATTCCACGTGGAACACAGAACTTCAAACTTAAGAATTTCAGTAGTTGCGGTGTTCCTAACCCTAAGCCAAAGCTCTCCTCTTCCCTAGGCTTACTCTCGACCAACAAACTCGGTTGGGTTTATGAGGAGGCGAGATTTGAACCCAATTCCTGTCTAACTGGTGGTGGGGGGCATCATCGTAACCATTTAATAAGTATTGTTTAACTTGATAATCACTTTCCTTCTTTTTTGTTGTTGTCGTCTACACTTTCAGCATCCCATCAGGTTCAAGATATTCTCAATCTGTTGGTAATTTAAAGAATAATCTATCAAAAAATCGTAGTCAAACAATTCTACCTTATGATCATAATCGTGTCTCATTAAATCGTCCAACTAATTCCAAGGAAACTGATTATATTAATGCAAGTTTTATTGATGGTTATATGCGTAGACGTGCGTATATAGCAGCTCAAAGTCCATTTGATATGTGTACAGCACATGATTTTTGGTTGATGATATTTCAACGGAATATTGCACAAATTGTTATGTTAACTAATCTTGTTGAAGATTCCACATTAAAATGTTGTCAATACTGGCCTGAAGTAAGCAAATGTGAATATTTCTGTGTCACTTTTCCCAGCTTCACTCTTTTTATAAAGTATAATTAAAGTTTATTAGAACTAAAATACTTCATTTTCTAATTTATTTGAAGTATTCAACATACTAGAAACAATACTCAAGTGTTGGTTTGTTGGGATTTGATTGGTTACAGGATTTCATCATAAGCTGACATTAGTTAGAGAACCATTGGAAAACCTGGAAGTACCGGACAGCCGCTTCGTCAGGCTAGTTTGGGACTCTTCATCAGTACGCATCTACAGACAGGGTTCGAACCCAGGACCTTCTGGTTACAAGGCCAGCGAGCTCGTATACCATTAAGCCACTGGGACCCGATCCAATGGCTAACCCATGAATTCTAACTTCTGCCAATTTATGACATAGCGCGACCCATAGGCAATACTTTCGGAGAGTATTTGTCCTCACACCCGATCTGCTGCACCCTACTGGTCACGACTTCTCACTAGAACCCCAGGTAACTACCTGTCTGAATAGGGCAAGTCGCTAGTAAAACAAGATCAATAATGAAATTCAAAGGATCGAACATTTTGTATAACTCTGTACTTTGTTCAACTATTGTCATGAATAATAAAATGAAAACTTGTGAACACTGGATCAATAGGAAAATTAGTTTCATACTCACTTGAAATAGGACATTGTATTGAGGAGGTTTCTTTCGAGCGATTATGTTTATACGCATATATCTCAATCGGTTTTACATAGTCTTCATGTCCTTTAAGAAGAAATCTCAATATTGTATTATAGTCTAAACCCACACTATAGACAGATTTCTATCTAAGTAAACTAGAAAATGAACCTTTGAACAACCTTATCGGAAAATTCTCACTTTATCGCCGGTATATATGGATGACACCTTTATTCCTTGTGATGATGATTTGAATAGGAACTTAATAGTAACTCAGTTCATTGAAGAACATTCTGCTATGAAATTCACGTGCGAAGAGGAATCCCGAAATAGAATTAATTGCCTTCCTAGATGTCCGCCTTACAAGGAAACCAGATGGTAGCACAAACGGAAATTTGCATAGGGAAAGCATATGGACAGGACAGTATACACATTTTCACAGCTTAGTTCTTCTTCAGTACAAAAGAAATTTAGTGAAGACCCTCAGTCACAGGGTTAGAGCTATATTCTCAGATGAACTAAGGAGATTGATTAGAAATAGCTATCCAGACAAATTCATCAGAAAATATATGAATAAGAAAGCATAAAAGGACTATTCACTATCTGTAAACAAAAAGCCTTTATACACACAACTGCAATTCAGCAGCGATATACCCAGCGAAATAATTACGAAGAAATTAAGAAAGCCATTTGAAAGAACCTTTAATGCTGGAAAACTACAAGTCTTATTTTCCACACGATCGATGGTAATCTCCCAATAGAAAGATGAAGTACCTAGACTAGCCATTTCTAATATCTACCAATTCAACTGCGTTTGTGGTGGAGTGAGATATATTGGCCGTTGCTCTAGGGACTTAATTTTTAGTGCTCACTCGGGAACATCTACCAGTTTTGTCAAATAGAGGTGTAGTGAGAGGCATCAATAGCTCGATATTTAAACACCTGGTTCAAAGTGACCAGTCACAAAGTTAATATTAAAGAATCCTTCTCCACAATCTATCGAGTACCAAATAAATTTCAAAAAGTATCCAGATACCGCATACGTTAAACGGCAGAGGCTATCGCGATTTGTCTTAAACAACCGGCAGTCTGTGTGCAGAAGAAGCAAGTCCAGCCAGTCACTACTACTGCCCTGGTCTACAGTGGAGACCATAAATTCATGAATTAGTATTATTATTTTTCCTAATTTCCCTGTCTGATATTCAGTGTAGTGTTATGTTGATGTTATCGAACTGTGAACCAATGATGTTATTATTGATTCGATGTTATTTAACCAACATTAATGTTGTTATTAACACTAATTCATTCACTGCTATGAGTAAATAACTGTAGAAGCTGATGATGAAGTTATCGAAAAGAATATTATTTGTTCAGTAACCATTCTTTTGAGAAAAAAAGTCTATTGGGTCTTTTTAATCACTACATATTACCTCGAGTAAGGCTAAGTTGGTATGATCAGACATTTAAGCATAAAATAGTCTGAAGAGTAATACTGACTGACGTCAAAAACCCCCTACCACTACTAAACTCTTAATCATAAAGACCCATAAAGGTACCTAGATATCTATGTACTAACCTTTTAGTATTGATTTCCTTAAGTCTTCATCATGACTGGTAACAGAAACTTGCTATTTCCCATAAGTCTCTTCTTTTTTTGCCCTATATTTTTCAATAATTATTTGTGATACGCCATGAAAGACGTTGTTTGGTCCAGTCTTGAACACTATCACGAAGGCTTTTTTACTTTGTAGTGTCTGGCCATATGACTTAATGGGATTAATATGAAACTAATATGCTTTACCACAATAGACAATTTCTACTGCAATTTTCTGAACCATAGATTGAATCTGTATGCCTGTGTATGAAATGTTATGACCTTTTTGGAATATACACTTACATGTAATCAATTGTCAAGTCAGTCTGTGGAATTTCATAATCTTTTGATTCTTATTTTCTCTTTAATTGAATCCATTCATGTTTATTACTATTATTATTCCCTTAACTCATGGAAAATTCCCATTGTAACATATAGAAAATCAAAACAAGTGATTCAGCGAAGAGACTCTTTTCAACGAATTTATCATCAAGCTGTACAATCGTATATATATAGTTTTTTTTAAGAAGTTATATCCGGTGTGGGAATTGAATCTTATGTGTGAATGCATAAAATAATAATCATAGTATGAAATGCAATTAAAAACTAAAATGTTTGTGATTATAATCGTAGTTAAATGTCAAGTGGCCAAGCAAATTAATGTCACATATATAGAATAATTCATAGGAGGGATAGAACTTGGAAAAGGATGTGCAATTATAGGATTAGTAGACAAATCGAATAAAATAAAAACATTACTTAATATTGTGTGAAATTTGATAGCATACAATTTAACGTCGTAAAAAAAGAATTGATTTAGAATGACAGGTGGAACAAATGAAATAATACCGGGGACAGTTCAAAGTGAGAGTAGTAATAGTAACAATTGACGTAATAAGCAAGAGTATACAAATTGAATAGACAAACATTTTAGTTTTTAATTGCATTTCATATTATTATTATTATTATTTTATGCATTCACACCTATGATTCTATTCCCTCACCGGATTAACTTCTTAAAAAAACCATATATATATATATACGATTGTACAGCTTAATGATAAATTCATTGAAAAGAGTCTCTTCGCTGAATCATTTGTTTTGATTATTCCCTTAATCATTTAAAGTATTATTTGCTCACTATGGTAATATGCTTACTATGTGATTTCGGTGCTAAAACACACTTCTATTGATTTGTTGATAACTTTTCTGATCGCATTGACTTGATGATAGGTAGTTGTTTGTAAGTCAGAAACAATGTTCGCGTTTAGGCCACTGCTAATCAATGACTCGTACTTGTCAACAACACACCTACCTAACTGGTTCTGTCTAATTTTTGGGCAGTGAAGGTGGTTTCTCGAAATCTTTGGTAAATTACCCAGTTCACTAACTACTTACTGTTTGCGATAGAGGAATTAAATGTTCTGTCTGTCTTGCCTTAAAATTATTGATACTTTCTGCTCCATAATGACGACTAGATGGATAAATAATTGTCATTCCTTTTCTGGTTAATAAACTGGTTACATGGATAGACTATTTTGCATAGATTTGTTTGAAAGTTATTGATTTTCCTTTTCATATGCTTATTGTCTTTGTAGATGCCTGGTCGAAATGGCAGCAGTCAAACAGATTCCAAGTCTTCTAAATCTCAACAGTATGGAAATATTATTGTAGAAATTATTGATCGTATTGATTATGCTCATTTCACTGTAAGATATTTTAATATCACTGAGGTATCATTGAATGTAAGTCAACGTGTTATGCAATATCAATTTCATAGTTGGATTACACCTGATCGTAAAGTTCCAGCTTGTTATGTGAATGGTGATTGTACACTAGACAACGATAGAAGAAATCAGTCATTACCAGATTGCGGTGATGATTTATCACAAGATTCACAAGGTGTTTTTTGTCGTACATCAGTTCTGGGAACAATATTTGATCGATTAAATTTTATTGAATTTTATTATCGTGTTAAAACTGCAAGTCGTCCTGAAGATGGTCCAGTTCTTGTGCATTGTGCTACAGGTTTGTAAAACTTTCATTTTTACTTTAATCTTGTATAGTATTTGTTGAAATTGGTTTCTCTTTTCTGTTTGTGAATATATCGGCCGGGTTTTGATAAGCCTGAAAATTGGATATCGAGTGTAAATGATAGTCTTGTGACGACTTTTAGAGTTCCTCAGCTATTTTGCATAGTGAAATGAACTTCAAATAGATATTTTGAGTTCTCAACTGAATCCGGAATCCATCGTACTAGTGTCCACTGTTGGTTGAAGTTAGATGTCAAGAAGACTTGGAAATAGTCTTGCTTTACAGAATGCCTTAGTTAAGTGGATAGCAGAAGGCTTACCAGGAACTCAAGAGGTCCAGTTTCGATTCTCACCAGCCGCCGAGTTTACTAGCTGTTGATAAGCTCAGAAAAGAGGAGGGATTTGGCGTAGGAGTAACAACCCCATCACATGAAAACAAGACTGCGGGTGCTGAAACTTCAATGATTCATGTTTTATGTTCTACTCAGAACCCTAAGAATGAAAAAATGATTTCAAAGAATTTATATATCTTGTCTTTGATCCCGTCTTTTTGCTTGCCTGTATTATATTCAGAAAGTGTTACAAAAGTGGAACGTGTAAACACGATTGTATTTTTCAGTTAGAATTAATTCAAAAGAAATTTCATTTAATTTCACGAAGCCACGTATTATCCAAATGTGTATGGTTGAAAAGGTAATCACCTTAAGCTTGTTACATTTTATCGCTGTCAGTTTTTTTTACCATCAGTTAACTGATGCATTTGATATGTTTACAGGGTGTTTGAGAAAAATCACTCACATTGTTGATAAAAAAAGGATTAATGTTTTTTTCTTCCTTTGCGTTCTGAGTTGAACATGGGGCTTCAACCTTGAGCTTCCAAGTTTCTATAGCACTAGTGCATCTTTTACTGGGTAAGACTGCTAACCTCATGACTGACCTATCTCCTCTTTACACCGGGTTTACTACCGGTTAGGCGAGGTTCAAGAGTGCATCGGCAGGAGATCGAAACCCGGCCACATGCATGGTCGGCGAGTATTCTATCACTGAACCACTGACGCGCACTGACAATATTATTTTGAGTAATGAAGTACACTTTCAAAATGCAGTCTATGCATAAATCCTGTAGCTGAATATGTGATTTATTTATCGGGATATAAACGTATCACTGACTGGTGAATCATGCTTTCAAAGTTTGGTTGAACTTTTATGTAATAGAAATTAACAGTATTAGCTGAGTAATTAATCACATCCAGATTTGAGTTTTGAATCATGAACCTCATATTAAATAATGATGAATAACAAGTTGGACACGTCATTCACTGATTAAAATGCGAACAGTCAAACTGGTTGTGTGGTAGATGGGTAGTTGTTGCTTTATTCCTATATATTTACTATCGCCTCAGTGGTTCCACAGTCTCTGCTCATAGTAATTCAAGACACATAACTATCATTACCCTTTCCATTAAAAAGCTAATGCGATTTTGTTTAGTTGATAGGAGGGAGTTAAATGCATTTCGTCCGGGTTTTGTTGTACTTGTAAGCTGGAGGGAGGTATGTGCACCTCAGTGAGTAAAAGTGTATCAACTTGGTTTCAAACCTGTGTTTAATTCAATTCAGCTTAATCAACAGCGGGAATTCATAAGTGCGCTAACATATAGGTTAAAGACTTCATAATGAGTATTTATTTCATTTGCTTTGTTTTTCCGAACTGTATTTGTATATGAAGTCTTTGTCTTTTTCATATTTAACAGGTTTATCACGTACTGGACTTTATATTGCTTTCGACTCATTACTTCAACAAGCTGCCCATGAACATGTTATTAATGTGCCTAAATTTTGCTCTGCATTATGTAAAGCTAGATCGAATATGCTACGTTCAATGCGACAATTCACTTTATTATATGATTTACTTTTTGAAGCGATATTAGCTGGTCATTGTATTGTTGATTTAGATTTGCATAGTAATTATCGTATGGTAAGTAATAACTACATTTCGGCTTGTCATCATCATTATTATTACTATCATTACTATCTTTTAAAAGATTAATTACTGAACAAAGAGTATTCTTCCCGACAAATTCACTAGGTTCCACAGTTATATGTTCATAATAATCAAGGAATTATCGTGATTAACAATACTGACGTTTTAGATTACATGGATGACAGTTCTTCAGTATCTGTAATTGATAATATGCATTCGTATAATACTTGTGCGTCGGTGGCATAGAGGTTAGGACGCTCGCCGACCATGCACATGGTCCGGGGTTCGATCCCCGACCGACGCACTCCTTTACCTCGCTAAGCCAGAAATAATCCTGGTAAAGAGGAAAACTTGGGCATCCTGTAAAATAAACACTGCTACAAAAACTTCAAGCGTCCTAGCTTGAGGCCCTATGTTCCATTGGGAACGTGAAGGAAAAAGATCGTATAACACTAAGCTTCAATATAAGATGAATTAAGAGAGGTAATAGAGTTTACGAATTTGTAGGTCCTACAACAGGCCAGGGTAGCCACCTCTTCTTTTATTTATTAATTTAATTATTTCGGTTGAGGCAGTTATATTGGTCGTCGTTACTCTAAGAGTTCAGGAACACCTACCTACCTATCAGTGTGGTGAAATACAGGTGTATTCAAAATCACCTGCTCCATACAAGCCATAAAGCATTGAAGAATCTTTTTCTATCTTCTATTGGGTACTGAATAAATTGCCTAAAGCCTCTAGATGCCGAATACTCCGAACAGTGCAGGCCATTGTAGCTCGCTTGAAACAACTAGAGCTGTGTAGTTAGAAAAGAAAAAGGTTCAGTCACTATTGCTACCCTGGCCTATTAATAATGTATTTTCATTTGTTCTTATTTGACCATACTCTGAGAAAATCATCAAGTGACATCACATGACAGGCTCTCAAGTGGAACCCGAACGGGCAGCAGCGAGTTCGTCGTTGGTTCGAGGGTGACATGGAGGAAGTCATGTGAAGAGGAGATGAGAGCATGTGGGTAGACTTGCAGCCAGGTGAAAACGTTGGCAGAGAACCGGACACAATGGAGACGTGTGGCTGAAGCCCTCTAGGAATTATAGGAAACAATAGCAGTAATAATAATTTGTTCGTACAAAAGGGATGCCAGTTTAAAGGCATCATCAATATGATAAATAACATACACATGTAGCAAGCATATTTACAATGATTCAATTACACAAGATATATTTGAGACAAGGTAGTCAAGAAATATCTATAAGGTCACTTTACACATGCAGAAACAATGTGTGCAGTATAAGGATAAGCATCTTCACTAATTAAATTTAACTAAAACGCGCGTCGCGCGTCATAAATAAAAGTTGTGTTGCAGAGGACAGGTATGGTAAGTTATTCATAAAGTGATAAAACTGTCTTGTGAAAGACATTGGCTAAGGGTCGCGCTACCTTGTGAATTGGGAGAAGTTAGAATTCATGGGCCATTGGATCGGGGCCTAGTGGCTTAATGGTGTACGAGCTCGCCTTGTAGCCAGAAGGTCCTGGGTTCGAATCCTGGTGGGTGCGTGCCGTTGAAGAGTCCCAAACTAGGATGAAACAGCTGTCCAGTATTCCCAGGTTTTCCAATGGTTCTCTAACTAATGTCAGCTTATGATGAAATCCTGTAACCAATCAAATCCCTACAAACCAATAATAAGACTAGTAAAGAGGGAAGGTTGGACATAAGGCTAGCAACCACATCCTGTAAAAATAGACACCGCTGCTGCCAAAACTTCAAAGCTCTAACTTGATGCCCTGTTCCACTGGGAACGTAAACGAATAGAATAAGAAATATATGTATATACTCTGTGTAGAAACTATGGTTATGTTGATACACTAACTAACTAGTTCGGTTATGCTAACTTTTGAATTATATGAATGAATTATTATTAATGTTAATGTCCTGTGTAGAAATGTTTATCATATTCTTCCAATAATATTAACGTTTATTAAAGAGGTTTATTGTTACGCATACGTTTAATCAGCCAAGTGTATCTATTTGGGGAGGGGGGGTGAAAAAGAAGGTGTAGGAGTCAGAAGAAAGAGGACCTATAAATTCATAAATTCTATATTACTTTCCTTAATTTATCTGCTTTTGAACTGTAACCTGTTTATGTTGTTGATTCGATGTTATTTAATATTGTTAGTACCAATAATTCTTTAACTGTAATGTTATATATATAATTTGAAAATCCCCATTGAGTCATATGAAAAAGAGAAGGCGTTCAGCGAAGAGACTCTTTTCGACGGCGAATTCATTCACATAGCTGTACAATCGCATTTATATATAATTATTTGTATGTGTGTGTATGTACATGAGGTTTGTCAAGTTTAGATAATTGATAAGGTAATAAAAGAATGATCTAATATAGAAAGAAGGTTAATCACCCAGCAACTAAAGTAAGATTGAGTTAGATGACGTAATATAATTGACTAAAATGTTTCAACTTAGGTCAGGGTAGCAACAAAGGTAATTACAAGTAGAGACTAAGTAGAAGTGGGATAGAGAATAATGCCATTTAAATTAGAACTGAAATTGAGCAAATAAGTTGGAGGACGTTACATAAATGACTAGAAATTGAGCGTTGGTCAAGTCAGTAACAGTGATAGTGAGGTGTAGAAATTAAATCGGGTGGGGTTAGAGAACAAGAAAGTTGAAAATGTAAAATATTCAAATTGAGAAGACAAAATAATACTAATGAAGAGACTCAGACAAAAAAGATTAGGTAGAGTTTACTTGTCGGGTAATAAGATAGATTACGTCCACTGCAAGTGTAGTGATTGAACGAACTTCTTCTGTATGCAGACTTCAGGACTTAGTAAGTGAATCACCATTGCTTCTGCAATTTGAAGAAGTCTGATTCGTACACCTTTAGGAAGACTACTTCTTCCTCTGTAGACGACTTTGAAGTTTGTTCGGGGTGTAGCTTGGTGCCCGAATTCTATCAGATGTTCTAAGATGGAGCTGCGGGGACATCGTTTTGCTCCTTTGTAAAACCATGTTGGTAAGTGTTCAGTGATACGTTTGGAAAGCGAACGCTTTATTATTTTATTATGCTTTTATTACCTGATCAATTATCTAAACTTGACAAACCTCATGTACTTACCTACCACACACACACACACACACACACACACACACACACACACACACACACACACACACACACACACACACACACACACACACACAAATAATTATACATAAATGCGATTGTACAGCTGTGTAAATGAATTCTCTGAAAACAGTCTCTTCGCTGAACATCTTCTCTTTTCCATATATATAACTGTAGAATCTGCAAAAGAAGTTATCGGAAAGAATATTCTTTGTTCAGTAATCGAAGTTTTGAGATTTTTAATGGACATCTTGAATCACTATTATCTTAATCACTATTTAGAGTAATATTTCATTTTTGTTCGTGTGCTATATAATTATGCCTTTCTGTTCGTATATTATTTTGTGATGATGATATAATAGTAGGGATTTTGATTTTTTTTCTTTGTATTAATCGTTTTATTTTTGTGTTACTCATTCATCAATCATCTTTTATACAGGTTCTTTAAAAAGAAATTCAGTGTTTAAGGTTAATTGTCTGTCGTGTAGAAAGAGGATGCTGTGAAGGTGGGTAGGTGGGGGGGGGTAGTTGTGTGAGAAATGTCAATCAGTGAGTATGTTTCAGTTAATCCATTGGATAGAGAAGTGAAAATACTACTACTAATAATGATGATGACTTTGTTTTGACAATAATTTAGCATTTATTTTTATTGTATTAATAAGTTTATGTTTACTCAGATTGATGTTATAGCTTTATTGAAAAATGCAGATAGCTTGATATATTATAAAAGATGCAGCTAAGTTAGTAGTTAGTAATGACACATTCTCTGTTTTTTTGATTTATTTCTAGTTATCTCTTCAATCATATTTTTATTCCAGTCCTGCATTTTAACGTTTTATTCTGGTCAAAATTATTAAGTTCTATTAACTATTTTACTCTCATCTTTTGTAAGCGGAGGGAGGGAGGTAGGGCATAGTGAATGGTGGATGGGTTAAGAATACATCAATAATTAGCTCAACCTGATATTATCGATCAGTAGTATTGTACACTAGTGCAGTGTACAAGGTTTCATTAAACCTGATTAATATTTAGACTTAATGTGTAGAAATGAAACGAGACTAACTTGCCGTTCATATCGAAGTAGCAGAATATTGGCTTCATTACATCGATATTTGAGAATCTCTACTGTCTGACTGTGTATTTACTGTTAGGATGTTTAATTTATAGAGCAACAAAACAGATATGTTGTCTCACTATGTTGTTTTGACTTTATCTTAAATCAAATACTGCAATCAATTTTATGATAAATATGATTTTCACCATTACAAAGACCAGGGGTAACGTTCTTATCATCATTGCAGAGAAAAAGTACTATCCTTTGTAATTTTAGTGATCATAAGAATTATGCTGATTGCGTTAAGCCATTCGTAAATGTTCATATGCCGACTAGCATGCTAGTAAACTAGGTGAGGTCATACGAACTCGAAGACTTGCAGGCGTAAACCAGCAAACTGGTAGTAGAAGCAGCGAAAATAGGATTCCAGGTGAACATAGAGAAAAAGGAGGTGGTAAAGATAACCAACCAACCGACCATCAGCAACCACAACCTGCGCCAATCACCATCATCAGAAGAAATTTGAAAGAGGTTACTTCCTTCACTTACCTAGGAAGTACGGTTTCAATGACAAGTGGAACGGATGAAGATATCAAAGCTCATCAGAATCGGAAAGGCATGATACGTCTTCATCAATCAGGAACCATTTCGGAAATCTGCAATCCGTAGCATGAAGAATAAGATTTGGATATTCAACACAAATGTGACGTCAGTCATTTCTTCTATGCGAGTAAGAAACTTGGTATGTCACTAAGGGTTTTTTCAATAAGTCACAGACTTCTATCAACAATTACCTTCGGCGGTTCCATACTAAAGATCAAGTGGCCACCAGACCAGAAAGAATTAGCAAGAAGCAACTCTGGCCGGTAACAAACCAACCAAGAGCTGATAGCTGATCAAATATGTCGGAGAAAAAGGAGATGGATCAGGCGTACCTTGAGGAGGAGGCCGCTGAATAACATTGTGCAATGCAGGCCAACACTCGAGTAGAACCCGGAAGGGAAGCGACGATTGGGTCGTCGATGAAAGGGTGACATGGAGGGGGTCTTGAATGGGGGAGATGAGAGAGAGACTATGGGCAATCGTGGACCCAGTTGAAGAGGACACCAGAAGACAGAACAAGGTGGAGGTATGTTATTGAAGCCTTATTTTCCACTCGGAACCCAAGGGATTAATAATATAAGTGTTAAGCTTAGTTTATCACCCAGTAAAGTTTCTTAGGTATGACGTAACATCTGTAACTTATTTCAGTAGTCCAGTGCGAGTTGTGTAAATGTTTGTAAGACACACTTCGTTTGTCAACTTTATATCGGTATTGTTGTTCGGATAGCTGTTTAAGTTTGGTATTTCGTATACAGTTTGTGTTTCGCATTAATAATATTTTCCTATTCATTATTTGACAATATTTTCTTCTGCATTCATATTTAGTTATGTCACAAAAATGAGAAAACTAATCGAACCTATTTATGGGAACAATGGTCTGTATTACATTTGTATACATCATTACCTGATCCTGATACAGAGTTACGAGTTGCTTTAAATTCTGTAAATTTACACAAAAATCGTTATCCCAAGGATTTTGACTTACTTCCACCTGATCATTTTCGTGTATGCCTACGATGCACATCCACTAGTGGTTTATCATCATCTTCATCAAATTACATTAATGCTGTCTATTTGGATGGTGCAGGTCTACGTGATGACATAATTTTAACACAAACTCCTTTAATAAATACAGTGAATGATTTTTGGTCTATGGTTGAAGAAGAGAAGGTATGTTAGTGTTTTTTCTTCTTTGTTTTCTAAAGCATTTCTTCTTATGGTGAAGAATAAATTTATTTTCAACCTTTTCACTTTCAGTTTTTAAAGGTTATCCTTTGTGGATTAGAGCGCTTTAAGATTCAGTACTATTTTGCATATTCTGTATTAGGATATGAACAGCGTCCAAGGCTTAGAAACTTATGATTCTAATTAATTGAAGAATAGTTTAAATATGTAACTCAAACTCTGCAAGATCTATTGAAATCCACTACTCAGTTTTCTTAGAATCAAGTTACACCTCATATTTGTCGATAATAATAAAAATAAATAGATAAATAAATAAATAAAGGACAACGAAATAAACCATCAGTAAATATTTTACAAAACAAAGAAGGAATAAAACACGGATTCATTCCAGTAGATTTGTCCCTTTGTGGAATACCTTTTTTCAATGAATTATAATATATGTAGACCGACTGACGAAATTTAGTGCGTGCATTCTGTTTAGCGAGTAACAAGTATCATGAAAACTTCTTTGTTTGTCACGGCAAAGAAAGAAAAATATCTTTTGATCTGATAGTTACTGTAAGAAAAAGAGAATTATTTATTTTAAAATGTTAGTGTAGAGTAGTGATCAGTGTGCACCGTGATGGCGAGCTACCTAGAATGATGGCCACATTACAACCTGACTGATAGAATTCAGTCTGCACCAAAGAAAGGACTGAACATATCATATAAGTTACTAGTGTCAAATCAAAATATCCACTTCAGTCCTACAGGAGGTCAATCGCGAGACCGAATAGCTCAGTGGTAACGTCTCTGACTGCAGAACTGGGTGACGCGGGTTCGAATCTCAGAAGGGACATGAGTTCCTTCAGGGTTGCAGATACGCCTTGCTGACTGGTGAGTACCAACTAGCAAGAAACCTAGGTCCAAGGCTTCCTGTGGCTGATTACCTCCAAATATCTAATATCATCAAATCAATGTGCACCGTGATGGCGAGCTACCTAGAATGGTGGCCACATTACAATCTGACTGATAGAATTCAATCTGCACCAAAGAGAGGACTAGACACATCACACTAGTTACTAGTGTCAAATCAAAATAGTGATCAAAGTATTCAAGAATAATAGGTTTATTCTAAGCATAGTACAGACTTTTCAGTTTGTTTTATTTTTATAAGGTATTTGCTCCTTGTGTATGTTCTTCAAATGATATAATCATCTCTAATGGATCTTTTGAAGCAATATTGTTCTATCCGAAGCTTATCTCATTACTCCGCGATGTTTTTCTTCCATTTTTCTTCCAAAAATTCGTAGCAATAGATTGTAGCCTTTTGTAAATTAGCGTGAGAGTAGGTGACAATTCATGAACTCTTATGAAATGCAGTAAATGTTGATGCATTTTGATGGATTTAATCAGGTCGCTAGTGTTGGTAGCTTGAAAGATTCGACTTTGGTCAGCCACCAAATACACTTTCCACGTCTCCATTATTTACTTAACCTCATATACATTTTCCTTTGCAGTGCTCCCACAATTAGGAGTTGAAATTCGACTGATTTTACCTTACATTTATTATTTACAAGTTTACTTCTGGGGGTGATGATAGAAATATGGGTTTTATTATTATTGTTATTAAAACTGTCTCACGCCATTGGTTGGGATATGTTTCTAAACGGTTAATTAATCATATAGGAGGTCCAAATCTACACTCACTCTGGATGGAAATTCATCATTATCTATTATGAAGTATTCATTAATATCTGGTTACAAAACTAACCCTAGTAACTGTTTCACAGTTATTTCACCTAATCCTTACTCACAGTTATTAAAGAAGATCGAAGCGTTTCAGGTTCATCACATTTGTTCCAAGTCATATTATTCTCCCGAGTTCTGTATTTTATTTTATTTTATTTATTAATATTCCTTTGGGTTCCGAGTGGAACATAGGGCTTCAACAACACATCTCCACCTTGTTCTATTTTCTGCTATCTTCTTCAGATGGGTCCACGATTGTGCATAGTCTGTCATCTCTTCTGACGACTCACTCGTTGCTTCCCATTGAGATTCCACTCGACCGATGGCCTAGCGTGCGACGTACTTAAATTTATTAAAGGGACAGATTTAATAAGAAGTTGGTTTCTTCAAGGTGTGTTCCTACACATGATATTAGCTCAAATAGCTGAGAAGCGTTCCACATATTTGTTTTTCAGAGTGTTATACATACCCCACTTTATTTACTGTCTTTATTCTTTATTCACTGGTAACTTGGTCCAACGCCACTTAAGTTTCCTGAATGTGCTATATGGTGTTGGTTACTAATTTTAGTTAACTGTACTCTACTGCTTGCTCTAATTTATCAATGTGAAACTCAATTTAGTATGAATTTTCTGAATGTAACTTGTTATATGCTCCAGTTACAGACATTATAAAAAACCAATATTGTTGTCTCTTGTCTCATATTTTATTTATTTCTTATTTTGCATGTCATCTGCTGTAACATTCATATGCGGCTACTTAAATTTATGTCTACTTAAAGTATTACTTGTCTTGTTCCTATAAGTAGTCTGATTGTTTCGCAAACATTTTGCATTTCTTATAATCTTGTGTTGTTTTCTACTCTGCTCACCATAACTCTCTCTTGTGAAAGCATTACTTCATCCTTTTTATTTCTTTTGTTAAGGTTTCGTGCATTGTCGATATGGAGCCGTTTTCTTATGGTGTTGAAGATGCTGTTCGTTATTGGCCACTTCGTCCAGGTGAGAATGAAACACTTCCAATGTTTGAAGGTTCATCAGACGAAGAATTAGATCAAATTGATATGCATTATGATTATACTGAGACACTACCTCTTCGACGTGGACCATGGTTAGATTTTTGTGATGGATTAATTCAAATTTGTCAACTTGGTTCATTAATTCCAGTTCGTCTTGATACAGCCTCTCCAAAACATAATTCCAATGGTGAAATATACAAAAGACGTTTACTTATACGTAAATGTGAAGTTAATCGTTTAAGACAATTTAATTATGAAAAGTTAAGCAATGAAAAGTCAAAACCTCGTGAAGTTATTATATTTCATTTTACCGGTGGATGGAATGCCAAACTGAATGTATGTATATGTGATTTCATTAAAAGTATTAATAATAGTAATAGTAATATGATGCGTATTTAATTTGTGGATGGTGGCTAGCAATAGAATTCAGGATGCGCATTTCGTCCTATTTGTAACTCGTCATCTGGGTGTACCTGCATTTCCCAGTGAGTGATGATGTTCCCATCGAGACTCGAACCAAGTGCCCATAGTTTCAAACGCCAAAGCGTTATCCACTAGACCACTTGGACCATGAGAGCTGATGATGCACATTAGTTGGCAATTTATCACTCAATAAAGCCCTTACGAACGATATTCAACACGGAGTGGTGACAATTTGCTTATAAATATACCTAATTTTTGATAATCTGTTTGAGACACACCCTTGAGATTTGTTAGGGGGGTAGTTGACTGTCTCTTATAATAAAAGTCAGGCACCAGGGGCTTTCCAAGTTTTCACTGTTTTGCTGCATTGAGTTGCTTTATTCAGTTTTTGAAGAAAAGATCCTACTGTTTCGAGGCACTTATCAAATATTAACACCAGTGGTGCCCAAAAACTTTCAATAATTTATACTTATTTGATTGCATGGAGGATTTCATCGTGAGCTGACATCAGTTAGAGAACCACTGGAAAACCTGGGAGTACTGGGCGATCCTTTCGTCCTAGTTTGGGACTCTTCATCAGTACCCACCCACCGGGGTTCGAACCAAGGACCTTCTGGTTACAAGACGAGCTCGTAGACCATTGAGCCACTGGGACCCAATCTATTGGTCCTTGAATTCTAACTTCTGCCGATTCACGACATAGTGTGACCATTTGGTAATGTCTTCTTCAATGAGTTACTGCCTTATCTTATACTTATTTCTCTTATAAAGTTGTAATTTGAGGTTTCGTGTATATAAGTGACTGTATTGTAGTTATGTTGAATTGTGTCATGTTTTAATACATATCTCCCTAACTAGAGTAGAGTACATGGATTCGTGTTAAGTATGACTGTGAACTTATCTGAAAATCAATTTGTCAGAAGTCTTCTTACATTCATTATGATTGATATATTTCGCCACCGCCCACTTAAAAGAGGTAGATCCCAAAGACAACTTAAAACCCCAGGTGCGTAACTGGTTCTCTTCCGAGTTTCATTCATAAAGACATAACACATGTCTAGAAGAAATACTACGGGATGTCGTGATAGTCATCATGGGCTCTTTGAATTCCAATATTTATCTGATGTATTACTGCGAAGATTATAATTAGTGTATTTAAAATTCTAGAATGGGACAATTTTATATAATATAGGGAGTATTGGGATACCGTACTATCTATTCATTGTATTACTGTCTGCTATGTCAAGTAAAATCATTATGTTATGGGACTATAGTGTACCACGGTGCTGAAATTCGGTTCCTTATATCAGCATATTTCAAAATTTTAAAATGACACCTTAGCAGTAATGCACGAACCAAGTAGTATATCATTATTACTCCCTTGGGTTCCCAGTGGAACATGGGGCTTCATCAACACATCACCATTTGACTTCTTTCTCTGTAGTCTTTTTTTACCTGGCTCCATGATTACTCATAAGCTTTGATTTCCTCCTCAGATGGTATCCCCTGTATCGCCCTCAGCCTCAGCCCAACGTCGAACAAGTCTTCTCCCTTTCCACTCGATTCCACTCGAGGGACTAGGGCGTCGTGTCTCCTCAGTATGTGTCCAATCGATCTCCATTTCCTTCTGCATATTTGTTGAACGATAGATTCTTGGTTGGTTTGGTGACTATCAGAATTCCTTGTTACTCCATCCTTTTTGACCATTCGATCTTCAGTATTGAGGGAAGACATCTGTTGATAAAAAGTTTGCAGTAGCCTGTTGGAAATGATTTTCGTCTTTGTTTAGGAAATTGTATATAGAGAGGGATAATATATTCCCAACAAGCGGTTCCATCACCAATGGTTTAGCAGCTGTTATTTCCTTTCTTTTACCATCCTCATTCTTTTCTTATTGAAATAAACTTAAAGACTTACGTGAAGTATATTTTGTCATAATTTGTTCATGTGCAATTAATGTGTAGCAACAGAAGACAAGGGGCCAGACAACATGTCGTTTATTTATAGATTTTCATGTACATATTATAGATTATTGTTAGCAGACAAACACAGTCCTCTGACTGGTTGTTTCTCACTGGAAGTTAACTTTGCATCTCTTTGTGGCTGTTTCTTGAATGTCAGATCATCTATATGTTAACTGTATCCGCCTACGCAAAGCCTTTGTTCATATTTTTCTCACGACGAATATTGGGGACATAAACACTAACGTAAATTACTGTCCACCATATTTGACTTACAGCCAGCTCTTACCACAAGTGTGTGTGTTTAGTTAAGAGTCGCTGTAACGGAATGCTTATTTCGAATTTGGTTTATCTATATAGCGAAATTATGTCCACATTATCTGCAAGCTATCGTTTGAACAGATCTTTCGTATGGTGCTAATTCTGCCGCTACCCCTTCGTATTATGTTTCTTTGTCTTCTGTTTGTGTGTCCCATGTTTTGCCGCAACGCTGAATCACTCACTGTCTTTAACGTCAAATACATCACCCCGCTATTTGATATTTTTATACCGACAAACGTCTCCCTATATACCACTGATAAATCAGTAGCCCACACCACATTACCATTACTCTAGTTGATACACGTCGATTAGGTGGCATTAAGTTATAACTGTCAGGTGGAATGCCTATAAAATGTTTATAGTGAAAAGTGATAATTCAATACGCTAATAGCAATTTAATTAATAATGGAAAACTTTAATTGTCTTGATGAGGAACTTAATAATATTCAACGGTAGCTAAGTGAAAATGTTTATCCTGAAAAGTTTATTGAAAAGAATATGAATCTTAAACCAAAGCAGCCCAAGTTACCAACATTTCTAAACAAGGCCTTATTCTTACAAATTCGGTTCCTTTGGGGAGAACACCAGGGAGATACTAACACAGCGTCTTAGAAATGCGGTAAAAAGAGCATCCCCTGCTGCGGAATTACGCTGTATCTTCAAAACCACTCCTCTTTTGCTTTCAGGAGTGAAAGACAAACTGCCTAATTTCTCCTCTTCCGTGTGTATCTACCAGTTTAACTACACCTTTGGAGTCAGTTACATAGGCCGTACAATTAAGCGTGTTTCTGGTCGAATTTCCGAACATCACCCTGCGTGGTTAAGCAAAGGACAAACAAAATCTATTCTCAGCTCTATTCTGTCTCATCTTGTGGACACAGAACACAAGATTGACGTTAACCATGCTTTCAGGGTCATTTCCCGCATACCTACGAATCTCAATTTTGCCTTAAGAGTTCGACTACTAAATATTGCTGAGGCTGTGGGGATCCATATTAACAAGCGTAATTCGTGCATCCAAAAGAAGTTAGTTCAGATATTATCATTACCTTGGCCATCCAGGTTTGGATAATCCTGGATTTTTGTGGAATTTCCCTAATTTTAGTTGATATTCTAGTTGCTATTATATCTTTATTATTATAATTTAAGTATCTCTGATGAACTGTAATTCCATTGATCCTACTTTACAAATCGATATTATTTAAAAACGCTAATATTGTTATTGGCTACTAATCCAGAATATTCTATGTATATACACATTTATATAATTGTAGATCCAGAAGAGGAGTTTATCGAAAGGAATATTCTTTGGTTGATTATTTTGTGTTTTATAAATGTCTGAATGAAAACTTTAATTGTCTTCAAATGTACAAAACCCATTTCTTGTATACTTCTTTTTATTTTAGGTGCCTGATTCACGTATCTCCATTGTTTGTCTATTAGAAAAAGTACGTCTAGAACGTGGTACAGGTCCATTGGTTATACATTGTTTAGATGGAGCTACTCGAAGTGGCCTATTATCTGCTTGTTATCTTTTAGCTGAACGTATGACAAGAGATCATTATATTGACTTATTTCATGTACTGAAAATGATTAAAATGCGTAGAAAAGCTGTTTTAGCATCTCCTGTAAGTTGTTTGACTGTTCATATGATCACACACACACACACAGCTTTTTTTCTCGTTGATTATTTTGACTCAAATTATATGTGTTTGTTTTATGTTGGGTTTTAGTATTTATTTTCACTGTTGATTCACATTTGTATTCACTAGGCATTTTTAAAATTAGGTACGTCAATCATTTATCTACTGCATTTTTTTAGCGTTTATGAGCTACTAAATAGATTGTTAGATCGATAGGCAGACAGACAGGTAATCAAGCGGACTGACAGACGTAAAGTTGGAAAGATAACATTAAGGTAAGGCTGATGGCAATAATAAATATTACTGAATCGTCCCAACACACAGAATTACGTGTAAACTAGGGTATGAATGAGTCTATTCTGATGTATTCCAATAGTCTTGTCGTTAGCCCACGAGTTACAACAATAAAATTGTAGAGCATAACTAATCTTTATAGCAAAGTTCAACAATAGCGTCCCAGGAGTGCGAACGTACGAATGGCTTACAGCTTACCAATCATAAAACATGAGAATGTTTGCTCAATAATGATGTATAATAACTAGAAATTGCTTGGAAACGCATTAAACAGGTTATCTTTGTCTGAAATGGTTTAGAATTATGTCCTAGTTATAATGAAGAGTATCAGTTGCCAAGTTAGACTAGTTTCTGTACATGTATTCACCGAGATGACTACAGATGAACTGTTTTTGTGAATCGTTTATTTCTGTCATCCTGCTTGCGGTCTTCAAAAAAAGTTTTCGTTTGAATTATTTGGTTTCCAGCAAGAGGATAGATGACTACTTACCAGGAAAACGTGGAAAATAAAGAAATTAGAATAAATGAAATCAACTATAAATCTACCCCTAGTCGTAACCGTAAGCTTAATCTTGACCCAAACACTAAACCTAAACTTTTGCAGTTAATAGTGTTCTCTGAGCTGGTTGGTTTAGTTATGGAGCTTTCGTCGTCCCCACCTGCTGGACAGCATCTTCAGCGCCATATGTAGCATAAAGTGAAATGATTTAAATTTCTTCATGAGTGATATAATTGTGTCTCCCGGTAACCATCTTTACATATGTATTGACCATTTTCTATTGACTCGGATTTTAAACTTTCTGGTCACCTGATTTACTTTTTATTAGTTGGTATATTTGGTCTATATTAAAGTGTTAAGACGCAGTTATATCACTCATAAAGAAAATTTAAATCATTTCACTTTATGCTAAATATTGCACCGAAGATGTTGTCCAGAAGGACGACGAAAACTCCGCAACTAAACCAATCAGCTCAGAGAACAATATTAATTGCAAATCATCCATATGAGCTACAAATCTTCTCTATTATTTCAAAACATAACCTTAATCATAACCCCTATTCAAACCGTAATTCTAACCCTAATGCTAATTATATTCCTGATCCTAACCCTAACCGCAAGTCTTACCTTAACCCTAATCCTAAACCTAACGAGCTATTAACACATTGTCCAAACAGTACTCAAAAACGTAATCTGGATGAAATTTGCTCATAAGTTGGTGAATAGCGTTGATATTTTAGCTATGATAATGACATGTGCCGTTAGCCAATGACTAGCATGCGTGTAAAGGTTATTGGAGTGTTCACACTCCTGGGACGCTATTGTTGAACTTCACCGTCTTTATTGATAGTCTTCGTACAACTAGCGCTGTGTTTACACGTAAAATATTGTGAATATTTGTTGTTTCCTGAAGTTCTGTTTGGTTTTATACACCATTTTATCCGTTGTTCATGTTGATTATTAGTGTAAGAGAGATTCTAGACCAAATAGGGGGAATAATGCCGGTAAGATATATTGTTTTAAACACTTGATTGTGTATTCAAAACGTGAGAGATTAGTTTGAAGCATTCAACATGATTTGGTTAGACTCTAAAGTATACTGACCAAAGTGGAATGACCAACCATTTGCTGTTACAGTGTTGCTATATTGTTTGTACTGTTAATTTTGTATCTTAAGCTGTAAATGTCCTGGATAAAAACATGTCACATGATGTTTTGTGGTGAGAGCTGTCTACAAGCCAAAATTGTAGGCAACATTTTACGTCAATTTAATTTGTGGATGGTGACTGGCAGTGGAATCCAGGATGCCCATTTCGTCCAATTTGTGACTCGTCATCTGGATGTACCTGCATTCCACAGTTAGTGATGATGTTCCCACGGAGACTCGAACTCAGTACCCATAGTTTCAAACGCCAGAACGTTATCCACTAGACCACTTGTGCCACGAGAGCCACCTCTTGTGCAACGGGTCATATTAATTTTACGTCAATGTTTACGTCCTGCATCGGGGTCATGAGAAAAAACAATAACAAAGCTTAATCTTGAGGAAATTCGCCAGCCAATCACAGCAGACTTAACGTGTGCAAACATGATTCGTAGATATATGGCTTAACTTTCTAAGAAACGGTCACAAGCAGCATAGAATAGCCTTCATTAAGGAAACAGCCAATCAGAAGACATTGCTTCTCCGCTGACAATAATATACATGAAAATCTATAAATGTCTCTTGATTTTCTCAATAAACGATCTGTTGTCTGGTCCTTGTTTTCTGTCGTTACAGTTTAACAAAAGTTGAAAGTGAATTAACGACTGAAAATGACTTTTTCCCTACTGAAGTCTTAAGCGGAAGATCATTACGAATCAGGTTTCTTCAATGAGTAATTCAGATGATATATTGCTCTCGGTGAATTGAATCCGATTGGTTGACCTTACTGGGAATCATATGACATTATAAGTTGATATACAACTTTCAAAGTTACAAGTGTATTCCACTCTTCTATCCTCTAAAAACAAGAACTTTGAAATTGAATTACTTCACCAATATTTGTATTGTATTAGTAATTAGTAGTTTATTCAGGATATTTATTTGTACAAAACTTTATTTTATCATTCTTTATTGTAACAACAGAAGACAAGGGCCGGCAACAGATCGTTTTATTACGGAAATCAGCATGTATTTATATATATTTCATGTGCATTATTATAGCTTTTTCAAGTAGACAAACACAATCTTCTGATTGGTTGTTTCTGGTTTCTCGGAAATTTAAGCCTTATATCTGCGAATCTTATTTGCCCACGTTAAGTCTCCTGTGATTGGTTGTTGAATCGGCCTTGTTCATATTTTCTCACGGCCAATATTAGTGACCTAGAAATTGACGTAGGTTAATGTCTACCAATTGGCTAGCAGCCTGCTCTCACCTCATATGCATCGGTGGCTCTCCTGTCCAGGTTCGATTCCCGGCTGACGCACTCCTATATCTTACCTGGTTTACTAGCTGATGGTTGACCTGGGGAAGAGGGAAGATTGGACATGAGTCTACCAGTCCCATTCCCAAAAAAAAAACACCATTGCTACTGGAACTTCAAATCTTCAATCTCCATTTGGAACGCAACAAATGAAAGGGAATATCATTCCATAAGTTCTATATTTTTAATGCCTTATATAATTGTCTTTTCTCTCTCCACATATATACAGGATCAACTACGTTTTGTCTATCGTTTCTTAATTCAATGGATAAAACGTACACTGGCTGAACCATTAGCTAATTGGACTACACGACAGTCAGGTAGAATAAATTTATCACCATCATCATCACCATTTTCTTCAGGGGATTGGAAACAATGGCAATGGCCACAACTTGTTGGTCATTTACCACCAGATTCACGTGTTGGTATATTTTCACACTCTCAGTTACCAGCGCTAGGCGCTGATCAATCCGGTACAACATTGAGTTTGGATAAATCTATTCGATCTAATCAACTTGTATTGGATACAAGTAATAGTAATCGTCTTGGTAGTAGTGCTGGTGGAGGTGTTGGTGGTGATACACAATCAATACATACTGGTGAGGAAGACTGTAACAGTACAACAGTATATACGCCTAGAAAATTAATATCATCGATATTATATCATTATTTTGATGATGAATTAGGAGCTAGTCAAAATACGGGTTATTATAAAAAGAATACAAATAATTCTAAACCACAACAGCAACAACAATCATCAAACATAATGGTTGGTAATCATAATAATTCTTATCATTCTTCATATTAATTGACAATAGATCACTATTTATGGTTGTAAACTTAGTATTTTCGATTGTTCTAGGATGGTTATGCGTGTGTATGCCCAGCTCTTCTGAAATCACTCCTGTTCTTGTCATGAATACTGTTGTGTATATGCTTCTTCTCCTTTTCTATAAAACTTCGCTGTATTTGAAATCTGTCTCATTCAGGATGTTACTTTATACTACTTTATTGTATTTCAACTTAGCATTTATCCCCTTTACTGCGTCATTTTATCCCCTCCATTCATTGTAGATCGTAAATCGACCCCTGCATGCATGCATATACGCACTCATTTTATGTCCTTTTATTATGGTTTAAACAGACTGGTGAAATTCTATAAGTATTTGTATTTTTATTATAAGGGAAGTAAACCTTTTATTATAAAACTTGTACTTAATTCATAAGTTTTTTTTCTATTTTTGGAGTGAATGCAACAATAAGGTGGTCAGTCTAGATTTTATACAGCAAATTCTTTTATTTCATTATATATATATGTGTGTGTGTATATGTGTGCGTGCAGGAGAGAGGCAAATACAGTGGAGAAAGAACTTCTATCCCACATTTATGGATCTTCCCTCTGATGATAAATCTACTTAGACAACGACAACAACAAATCACACACAATGTAAGTGGTATTGAGTATTATTAGTGTTATCATTCAATCTTGCCTATTTTCCTAATACAATAGTTGTGTAGCGTAGACGGGAGAGATTTTGTTTAAATTGATTATTTTTTAGTGGTGAGGGAAAATTGAAAGATAGAGAGAGGAGAGAGAAGAGCATTTGATTTTTTATTTGTTTTTGGAAAAAAGCTACCTTCCTTTATTCGTTGCATTTCACGTAAAATTTTATTTATGTATTAATCAGTGATTATAAGGCTTGGAATAAATCTGTATTATTATTATTATCATTATCATTATTAATTGTACTCCTTCTACTATTATTGTTCGGCCTTATTTAGTCATCATTATTATTGCTAATAGCAGAAGTAGGTAAATAGGATGTCGATTCTTTGTAAAACCCATTAATTGTCCTCATTTTATTGTTTCTCACACGCACACATGTAAAGAATAAAGATATTGTCTACCCATCAATTTCTAATAGAAATCTTCCGCTCTTATTGCTTATTGTTATTATTATTATTATAATTATTCGATTGAATAAATATTGTTATTATTTGCCAGTGAAATGATTCAATGTTGTCTATAGCTACGTTTCCTTTCTTTCTTTTTCTGCTGTCTTTAATCTTCCTGTCTAGAAATTTTTGATGTATTCTATTGTGAATGAGTAATAAGTATTCAATTTGAACCTTTCCGGTTCTTTTTTGAAGACTATTTCATATACAGTAATGTAGATGGTTGAAGATTTGTGGGCATTATAACAGTGTTTTATCATCTGTCGACGCTTTTAGCCTCCTTCCCCTGAATTGTTCTTCTCTTCATTTACAGAAGATGTTCTCATATTTCTTCAGCATGACGATAGAAAGTGGGAATAAATCTTGTGTGAAGTTGTTGAAGTGTATGCCTACATATAGGGTGTTCGATGGTACATGTCTCACATTCACATTGTACAGATATTTGTCCATCCTTACGCTTTGCTATATATGTGTCTCCTCATCCATTCATTGTTACATCGAACAGCCATGGAACTGTATATATCACATTCTATTTTATGTGTGTAGGCATTACCTCTTTGATGGTATTTTCTTAGATTACTTTTTTGTGCTTTTCTTCATCTTACTTCCATTGTTGTTTACCCTGTTCTAGAGTTTATTTTTTTTATATGTTTCGCCAATACACAAGCATGCTGGCATGCATACCACGCGTTGTCATCATACTGGTGACAGTCATGTTTTCAAGTTATATTCTGTTTAGCAGTTTGTTTTTGTGCTTTTTGGAGAAAAGCTTGAATAAATTGAAAAAAAAATAGAGAAAACCGTTGATTAAATTATTTGCTTGTTTTTTTCACAAGAAAGGGTACTCTAAAAATTGGCGCTTACATTGATGTGAAAAAGAGTTAGAGGATAAATGTGTGAGATAACGAAAGTAAATAGAACACGTTACTTTAGGAGGTATGGAGTCTTAGGGTACTTAACTTGCCCTGCCTTCCACTGATACAACTCCCTTACTTGATAGCTTCTCACTCCCTCTTCACTCTGTGTCCACTAAAAACGACAGAAGCCAAAAAACCACCGATAGTCTCCTAAAGCCACGCCACCAATTTCATATAGGAGCATTTAATGTTAGGACACTTTGCCAAATAGGACAACAAGCATCACTAGCTAAGACCCTGGCATCCGAGCCATTGATGTATGTTGTGTTTCAGAAACACGCATACAAGACCCAAGTGTGGTTATTCACCTAACCCCACCTGGCCAACAGGATGAATCTTCAAAATTCACCTTGAGGGTGTCAGGAGATGCCACAGCTAGTTCACGAGGATTAGCTGGCGTAGGGATAGCTTGAGTACTAGGGCAGAAAAGACATTACTTGACTGGATCCCGGTAGATAGCCGAATGTGTGCTGTCCGTCTGAACGGATCAGTAAGAAGGAGAAAGGACTGCACTACTCGTAATCTCCGCCTACGCCCCCACTGACTGCAGTTCGGATGAAACGAAGGATGAGTTCTACCAAAAGCTGTCTAGTTTGGTGAGAAAGGCTAAACGCTCAGATATAGTCGTTCTAGCTGGTGACTTTAATGCTCAAGTAGGGAAATTGTGTCAATCTGAGAAGGATGTCGGTGGCACCTATGGAGTTCCGTGCCAGCGAACCGACAACGGTGACCGTCTCCTACAGTTCTGTTCAGATAATCATTTGTTTCTTGTAAGCACTAACTTTAAACACAAGGAGAGACACTGTTTAACCTGGCGACCCCCATCATCAAACCAACGCTGGACACAAATAGACCACATAGCAATAAGCTATCGTTGGCGTGGGTCGGTAGGAGATTGTCGCTCCTTCTGGAACACGTGTGTAGATACCGATCACGCACTGGTCCGGGCTCGTGTGTGCTTACGACTGAACGGACGTAGGAAACAGCTGGCGGTAAAACCATCACGTCCCCAGCTCGATCAGGAAACTAAATCCCTATTTGAGGAAGAACTAGCTAAACGCATATCTGTGTTCGACAGCTGTGCTCACCCTGGAGAAGCCTGGAAGAATATTCAGTCAGCTATAGATACAGCTGTAAAAGCTGTGAATAAGGCAAATCCAAAGGTGAGTAAAAACCACTGGATTTCGACTGCCTCATCCGAACTGATAGATGCTAGAAGACTTATTCCGGCGAGCTCCGAATTCAATGAGGAGCGAAAGCTGCACAAAAGGAAACTTACTAAAAGTCTCCGCAAGGACCGTGAACAGTGGTGGGTGACAAAGGCGAAAGAGATGGAAAAAGCATCGGCGATAGGCAACACTAGGCAACTCTTTAGACTCATCAGAAACGGGTGGGAGAAGGCAAATCATAAGTGAGACTATTTCTGAGAAAAATGGCTCCTTAATTAGCTCTCAGGATAGACGCCTTGAACGCTGGAAAGAACACTTTGAGGACAATTTAACTTGCCTACAGCCACACTGAACCTCCCCGACATCCACCACACACCCGAATGGGATATAGACACTGGTCCGCCGTCTGTAGTGAGGTCACAAAAGCTATCAGTAATTTGAAACGAGGCAAAGCGGCAGGACCCGACGGAATTATTCCGGAGGTGTTTAAATATGGGGGTGACATACTAGTTTGTAGATTAACTGAGGTACTAGGCAAAGTCTGGGAATCAGAGACAGTGCCATCAGACTGGGGTAAGTCACTTATTATACCGATATTCAAGAAGGGAAACAAGTCCTCGTGTGATAATCATAGGGGGATCAGCCTAACGAACATAGTCTCTAAAATCCTAGGCTCAGTAATCATGCATAGACTAAGCAGAACTCGGGAGGAACAGACAAGGGAAAATCAAGCAGGCTTTAGACCAGGTAGAGGGTGCATAGATCATATCTTCACTCTTCGACAGATTCTAGAACATAGACACACTTTTCGGCGTCCAACAATTGTCATATTTCTTGACTTGAAGGCGGCCTTCGACTCCGTGGATCGAAAGGTACTATGGCAATGTCTGACTGTGAAGGGAGTGCCAAGAAAGTACATTGCACTAATCAAGGCACTCTATTCAAACTCACGTAGTCGTGTAAGGGCTTATGGGGAATTGTCATCTGAATTGGTAACAACCAGTGGTGTCCGACAGGGATGTCCACTTTCCCCATTTCTGTTTAACTTCATCATAGATATGCTAATGGAAGTATCCTTAACTGAACGTAATGACTTAGGAATCGACTTGTTACCAGGGAATAGTCTTATGGACTTAGAATATGCAGATGACATAGTCCTGTTAGGGGAGGATGCTGACAAAATGCAGAGTCTTCTGAACACCTTGAGCAGCAATCTTCGTATGTTTGGCATGCGATTCGCCCCTGCAAAATGTAAGATGCTGCTACAGGACTGGACCACGTCAACTCCTAACTTAGTGATAGGGAGTGAAGTGATAGAACATGTTGACCACTTCACCTATTTGGGAAGTTGTATTAGCACCAACGGACTGATTGGCGATGAAATCTCAGCACGGATCCGAAAAGCTCGAGCTGCTTTCGCTGACTTACACCATCTCTGGCGTAGGCGTGACATCCGGTTATCAACCAAGGGACGTGTGTACTGCTCATCAGTTCGCTCCGTCCTTCTCTATGGCTCTGAAACATGGCCAATACGCGTTGAAGACATGAAAAGGTTGACTGCTTTCGATCATAGATGTCTGCGATCTCTGTCTCACGTTAGGTGGTTTAACAAGGTAAGTAATGTTGACGTTAGGCGTAGAGTGTTGGGCAAAGAGGGAAAATCAATCGACGAGGCTATAAAGTTACATAGACTAAGATGGCTAGGTCACGTGCTGCGCATGCCTAACCACCGCCTCCCCCGACGGGCATTGCTAGCTGATATAGGT